GGTATCTGAAGAAGTGAGCATAAAAACAAAGCTTATACCCAGAATTAAACTTTGTTGGTCTTATAGGTGCCACTGGACTCAAACTTTGTTCTGATGCTTCAGACCAACACAGCTACCAACCTGAATCTATCACACATTCCTTTCCAATGTATTTGAAAAAGTGAGCATGCACACGAAAGCTCATACCTTGAATAAACCTTTGTTGGTCTTAAAGGTGCCGCTGGACTCTAAATTTGTTCCATCACATATTAATTAGCCAATCAGAAAAAGACCTAAGGGCACACTGTATCAGAAGGTCCTGCTGCACTGAAAAAAAATCTTGTATTTATTCCAGGAATCAGGTTTCCAAATGCAACAGGTTTCCCTGAAAAAGCTCTTGACTGTAAGAAGTTGTGCTAAGATCGAACACAGGAAGATAAGATCATGGATCAGAGGCAGGGTCCATCTAGCCCGGCATCCTGTTTCCAAGGACAACTATTCAGTTTCCCCAGGAAGGACAAGCAGAATAAGAAGCTAAACAATACTTTCCTGTAGTCCAGCATCTGTTGACCACATTTGTGCTATCAAAGTGCCACAAGTCCTTCTGTAGTTTAAAAGAAGTTAGTTGTATAACTGTTTCTGTTTTAGTGGCAGTAGCTCCATGTAAAATATTTGCTTTTTTGTATATATACCTATTTTACCTTTTTGTACATTAAGAAATACGGGGCTACCTATGGACATGTATTGCGTAAAAATCTGTTTTTAAAAGTTCTTTGTGGTCTAGTTTCAATAAATGGAGATGTGATATAGATAAAGAACCCATGCCGCATGCCCGATGGGAGACCCCCATCGTCACCCCGGTCAAGCCCAACGGGGATGTCTGGATATGTGTGGACTATAAATGTACAATAAACAAAGCCCTACAAGACCATGCATGTCCCAGTCGTCAGCCATGTGTTAGCTTTCCTGGTGGGCACGAAAATCTTTGGCAAGCTGGACTTGGCTCAGGCATACCAGCAGCTCCCGGTGGACGAGGCCACCGCAGAGGCTCAGACAATAGTGACGCACAGGGGTGCGTTCCGGGTGCGGCGCCTACAGTTCGGAGTGAGTGTTGCCCCAGGGATTTTCCAGAATCTCATGGACTGTCTCCTTAAAGGTATCCCCAGGGTCCAGTCATTCTTCGATGATGTTTTGATCACAGCTCGACTCCGAGACCTTCGCTGATTGACTGTGGGCGGTGCTACAGCAATTCAACTATGCCAGCCTGAAGGTGAAGAGGGAAAAATGTCTGCTGGGGGCACCGCAGGTCGAGTTCCTGGACTTCGCGGTCGACGCGCAGGGCACCCATCCCACACCTGACAAGATCTGCGCCATCGTGCACGTGCCTACCCCCTCCTCCAAACCTGAACTCCAATCTTTCCTGAGGCTACTGAACTTCCACCATTCGTTCCTGCCCCATAAAGCTGCCATTGCCGAGCCCCTCCACTGTCTCCTGGACAAAAAAGCTTCATGGGTCTGGGGCCCCAAACACGCCACCGCGTTTCAGGCTATTAAAGAACTGTTGACTTCCAATGCGATCCTCGCTCATTTCAATGAGTCCCTCCCTGTAGTCCTCGCCTGTGACGCATCCCCGTACAGGGTGGGGGCCGTCCTGGGGCATTGGCTGCCCGATGGCCGGGAAGTCCCAGTGGCCTATTACTCCCATACCTTGTCTTTGGCCGAGTGAAACTACACTCAGATTGATAAGGAGGCTGCACACTTATCTCATGGCTGACCATTCAGATTACTGCTGCGTGGCAACGACAGAGTGGGCGGGCAGGCAGCAACCGCAATCGTGGCGGGGGCTTAAAAATTTCATGATTACTTTACAGTTGTCACAGACCACTAGCCCCTTTGGGGCTTGCTGGCCCTGGACCCCCAGACCCCCCAGATGTTGTCGCCCCGAGTGCTCCGCTGGTCCATCTTCCTGGCCGGCTACCACTATGCGCTTGTACACTGCCCCAGCAAGGTGATGGGCCACGCCAATGCACTCAGCTGCTTGCTGCTGCTGTCCTAAGACCCAGACCCGGCTCCCACGCACCAGATTGCCCTGCTGGAGGACCTGCCCGACCATCCCGTCCAGGTTGCCGAGGTCTCCCGCTATACTGCCTGGGACCACATCCTTTCCCGGGTTGGCGGGGCAACAGAGCCAGACAGCAACAATGAGCCCAGGCGCGAGCCGATGCCAGCATGTCTCCCGGAAACCTCAGCCGAACCATCGGGAACAGCTCTGGAGCAGACGGCCCTGGCTACCGAGCTACGCCGCTCTATCCCGGAGCGGCAGAGACCTGCTTACCTCAAGGACTTTGTCAGCTAGGGAAGGTCTGGACCATGGGGGGAGGGGTGTTGTGTATTAACCATGGACCATGCACGTAGTTGGGTTCGCACGCGGTCATGCAAAATGGCCAAGCTTTGCTAACTAGAACAATAGCTGGCTAGGATTCTAAAATGGACCAGTCAGTCAGCCCGGATCCTCGACTCGACCTATGGGTGTTGGTACACTGTAAATAGCCTATCACGGGATGTGTGTCTGGGGGGGGGGGGTTTTGGGGGTTTTCAGCAGGACACCGACCCTGCTAGTTTGTCTTCAGTCTTGAGTGCTAAATAAACTATGAGCTGATTTCACTATTCAATGCATCTGAACCCAGTATATTACACTTTCCACTTCTCTCTTGGCAGATGTTTTGGAGGGAGAAACTGGTGGTTAAAGAAAACCCATCCCCCATTCCAAACACACACAAGTAATCCTTGTATTCTTGTGATCTTTCCTCACAGGGATGACCATAACTGGTGGATCCAAATCCCAAGGTGAGTTTTTATGACATCCCCCCCAGCAAACCTACATAATAATAATCGAAACATGCTAAAAGTTTTGCCTTATGAGTATCACTTATAAGGAAGAGAAATGTATTGTACGTTGTAAGAAACAAGAGATTTCAGTGTTACAATTCTCTTTGTATGCAACATTTTGTAAGCAACATGTATTTGTAAGTAATGCTACGCTAGAGCTCACTAACTGTGAAACCCTTACTGCTAGAAGGCATCACCGTTATTATGGAGTCTGAATATGTGTAAAGAAAAATGTTTGTTTCACAGATGGTCAGAGTCCATAATGAAGACTGACTTAAACTTCTGGCCTTCAGATTCCTGTTTAGGGAGAAGAATGCCCCCTGAGAATACTGACATTCAGTAGCCCTGACTTAGTATCTAAAGACAGCTAGTTTTGACTGGTGGCAAGGCATATGTTCCATGCTCTTGTGCATCTTCCTCCCAGCATGCATGATAAGTCAGGTAAGAATGCTTCCAGATGGAGATGTTCATGTATCAGGAATGTTGAATCAATGCTGCTAAAATACAGCTACAAATACAACTAGACAAGAGCAGAACCTGATTGTGACAGTAGTTCCACCAAAACAATGACTGCACCAATAAAACCCACTCTGTGTGAGGAAATACTTCCTAGAGTGCGGTCACATGTGCCAGATAATGCGGGAGGGGGAGTGGGGTTATTTGCGCCGTAGAAATGTGACCCGCCACTGCGTGATCAGACACAGCGGCGGGTGAATCAGGTTTTTTCCTTCGCCGCGTGTTTCCGGTGCGCTTTAACAAGGGATCACTGACGCAATGGGAGTGTGCCGGAGCGATCACATGGGGAAGTCCATCTGCGGCCCATTGCAAACCCGTTTGATGTATTTTTTAACTCTGCTTCTTTGGCGGAGCTAAACGGGTTGGCAATGGGTGCGGGACGCTTGCCAGATGTTCCCGTGTGATTGCGCCCTTGAAATCCACCCAGCATTCGTGCCTATCGTGCTGCTAATTCTGCGTGTGATCGGGACCCTAATTTACCTACTACCTGTTCCTCTTCCTATGGTGGCCTAGTGTCTAACTAGAGTTGCCAACATCCATGTGGGGCCTGGAGACCTCTTGGAATAACAACTGATCTCCAAACTACAGACGTCATTTTCCCTTGAGGAAATGGCTGCTTGGGATGGTAGACTCTATGACACTACATCCCACTGACGTCCCTCCCCTCTTCCCTCCCCAGACACTGCCCCCAATCCTCCAGGAATTTCTCAACCTAGAGTTGGCAACCCTAGTTGCAACAGTAGCAGCTGCTATCTGCAAGCGTGCTGGCTAAATAGCATGCAAGCAGAGCTAGAGACCACTTTCAATATACCTGAATACAAATACTCATGTATTTTCCAGTGCTTGCCCTTGGGAAATACACACAGGCCTGGCCTTGCAGTTGCCACTTACCTGCATTTTACAGAGACAAGTGCTAGAAAAATGCAGAAGTGTGCATCTTGAATCTGATACCGCATCCTTATACTTTGCATGCTTGTATCATACTTGTGTACAAATGTCATATCAAAATCAGCCTTGAATTTCTCGGCTTTCCTCACTGCAGCACTAAATCTCTGGCACCAGAGCAGCCCAACAGCCAAGATTATGAGCAACACAGTTGAAAGAAGTGGCAGATGATGGGGCTGGGATAGTAATGCTCCCTCTAAGCTGTGGAGTCTTGTGAGCAGAAATTCTACTTTGTGAGCAACTGGCATTAAAGCTGTGAGTGAGCAATTTGGCTACTGCATATAATTAGTTTGCTCTGGAGCCATTCTTCCTGAGCTAAGACAAAAATGTGTGAGCAGGAGGCTAAAAAACTGTGAGCTAGCTCACACTAACGCAATTTAGAGGGAGCACTGGTGGTGGTAGCTGTTGTTCTCTACCTTCTCTAGCTATTCCCACTGTCCCAGTCCCAACGTTTATTCTGTCATGAAGCCATCTCCTAGAGTTACCACACAGAATACCTTCTTCACCACTCTTTCTGTGAAAGGAAAGAATATGGCAAGTCTTTATTTTCACTGTATTCAAAGATAGACCCTGAGTTGCTAATTCCTAGAAAGCATTCCAACATCTTCTTTTCTGCCACCCACAGCCACCCACAGCCAACATAGCTTACAGACAGATAATGTCCCTCTCACCTGTGTGTACAATGGCTCATAGATATCCACTCCATTGTCTTGGCTGTGGGAGAGTGTCTCTGAACCTCGTTTCCAAATGAACCGTGCAGGTGGATTGGAGTTGATTGTACATCGGAGAAAGACTGTCTTCTCCTGGTAGAAACTGCCACGCACATCACTGATGGTCTGGTGGACAGTGAGGAGTGGCTCATCCAAATCTGCAGGGACAGGAAAGGAAGGTGGCCATGGCAACTGTTAGTGAGGGGTGAGCCAGAATGCACACAGTCAGCCAGAACACCAAGAGTAAAGGGATATTTCAAAACAGCCTCCTTCCTCCCAGGCAGTCAGATAACAAAAACAGGTAGGCTCTAAAATGCTTTTACATGAGACCATCAAATAATCACTCTGTAGTTCTCAAACTAATGTCTTCCCTGACAAGGTTGTGAGATAGCTGCTTAACTGAAATTGTGATCCCCCACACACACACACACACACCTAAATGAATATCAAGAATGGGGGGAAACTTAGGAGTGGGGGGCAGAAAACAAGACTGTAATGGAAATCCATTTAATAGGGAAGAAATAATAAAATGGAATGCTGACCTTGTAAATTATGAGAATCAGAACATGAGAAAACATACAATTTGCCTGCCTTCTGCTCTTCTTTCAAGCCCCATTAAATCTTTAATCTGTTATGTTGGTTAAATATATGGACCTTAGAAAACCTACCTCTGTATTTGGATCTTTAAAAACTCTGATTCAAAAACTGAAAGTTTTGCAAAGTATGAAATTGCGTTTCACCTGTAATGTTTTTCTCTCCCTCCCCTGTCCATTTTATTTTTAGAAGCTGTTCACATTTTCTCTCTTCTACCATGCCACACAAACTTCACTCAATCTCTGTCTCCCCCCTTTTCCACAAGCAGTGGGGTCATGCCTTCCATTCCTCTCCCCTAGATTTGCCACATCTCCATTCAGGTCCAATAGATTAGTCATTAACTAGATCTGCAGCCCAGGGGTCTGCTATAGGCTGGCTACCTGGAAGGTAGCCAGGCTGGAAGGGTGATTCTACCAGGGGTGGGGTGGGAAGTGTAGTTTCCTCCCTTCAGTGAATTGAATGTTTGGTTGCCTCATAACTAAACAGATGGCAAAAGAAAACAGTAACTGGATTATTTTTAACGTTGTGTCCTGACCAGCTGTGACAGGGGTGGAATTCAAATGACTTGTAGTTTGTCTATCTACATCAGGCAGAAAGGAAACCTCTCATGGTTAGCACAGAACTGAACAAGGGACTTTTAGTCAAGGGTGAACTTGCTTTCTGCCCAAGACATCTACCACTACCAGGTTATCTAGTATGATCTTTTTTTTTAAGCCCCCGGAGGGGATTTTTTATTGCATTTTTATTAACACTACAAACTACAACAGAAAATAGGGAAGGGGACTACAATTAGGGGATAAAGAAAGATACCCACTACTAACTAAAAACTCAAGAGAGGAGGTCATCTCACCAGTTTAGACAACCATTTAGTCTTAATCTCGTTAATCTTATCAACTGAGTCAAATTTATCATTAACTTTTCCAAGTTTAAGTTTAAAGTTGAACTGTCATACAGAAATACCCCAGAGCATCTCATTTCAACATTTTATAAAGGCACAATTCAGAGTCCTTCAGCCTTTACTTCTCCTTGCCTAATCTCTTCCAGAGCTTATAAGGACTTTTAGGGGCTGCCGCCCCTTTCTCTGAAAGAGAGTCCTCTCCGGAAGATTTCGAGTCCAGCTCTCCATCGGACTTACTGTCCATCCCTTTTTTCCCCTTCTTCCCCTGGCTCACCCAACTGGACTCTTAAAAATTCCCGTGCTTTCTGAACAGAGTCAATCTTTTCTTTTTTTGTCCTTGATTTTGAAGGTTATGCATTCTGGGGTTAACCATCTATATCCAATTGCATTTGTCTGTAGAAAAAGAGTTAATTCTTTATATTTCTTTCTCCTTTGTCTTATCTCAAATGGAATATCTTTCAATGTTCTGATGGTATTCTCCCCCACTTTCAGGGGTGCTCCAGATACTGCTTTCAGGATTGCATCCCTCCCATGCCTCTTCGAGAATCTTACCACAATTTCCCCAGGCAGATTATTTTTTTATATATATATCCAGAATATGACCTGTAGGCCACATCCATATTGTTTAACAGACATTCCGCCTTCATATCTGTCACTGGGGCCAATGTTTCCCTCATTAGTTCCTTAAGATTCTCTCCCTTAGTCTCTGGCATGCCCTGGAAGCGAAGAATCATATTAGCCTTTTCGATTTGTAGTTGTAACAGCTGATCTTCCATAGAAACTTGCTTCTTTTCCAGCTTTTGAACTTTCCTTTTTACCTTTTGTGCAGTGGCGTCTACTTCTTTCACCTTCTCAGCTGTTTCATTCATCATTTTAAGAGTCTTGTTTATCTTATGTTTGCTGTGTGGTGATACACTGGGTCATTGTTGACATCTGCTCCTTGATGTTATTCATCTGGTCCAGTAGGGGGCGCATGGATTCTGCCAAAGTCTTTGCCAGCTCGTTGGTTCCTTCCGATTTAGGACTCTCCGTTAGTTTCAATTTCAGAAGTTTCTCTTTCTCCTTCCTCTTCCCTGTCATCTTTATTGATTGTTTAACAAGTATTTTAAAAGTCTCTGAATATGCGCCCAAATGCTCGAACTCGCCTTGGTGAGTATTTCTTAACAGTTTTGCACACTTTCTCTTCCGCTCCCCCCCTCAATTCGCTCAACAGTTCATGTGGTTGGAAGGCATCCCTGCCCCGCCCGTCTCACTTTCTGTTTTACAGAATGGGGTAGGGAGCATTCTTTTCTCTTTAACCGCCGCTTACATTAGACTCAAGTTCATAGTTGGTCCTCAGACCTCTTTTAATGATCATTTCTGCCGCTTGACCTCCTGCGCTTGCCCCAGTCAGCGTCACTTGAGTCCATTCAGCCTTGCGGCACGAAGAACCTTCGGGACGGAGAGGCGCCTCAATTCCCCGGCATTGTGCTGGCAAAGAGGCAACCTCTCAAAAGTCCCCTGGCCAGGGCCCCTTCAGCCGGGTCCCTGGGAAGGGTGGCAAGCCTGCACAGCCCCTCCTTTGGCTGGAGCGCAGCTTCACCCCCGGGAGGTCCAGGAGGTGAGTCTGCTACCGCGCTGCCATAAACCAGAAGTCGTTATCTAGTATGATCTTAGCACACTTTTGTCAGTTTACTGAGAAAGGAAACAAAACAATTCCTTGGAGACATACTAAAACAAATGACAGAGAAAGACTATTGGAATCCATTGGTTCCTTCTAGATGACTATAGGAATTCGTTGCATGTCCAAATGGCCTTTGGAAAGAATTAATGGAAAAGGGATTGGTTGCTTTCAGGGTGACCCCTATGGACTCTAAGAACGGCAGGTCAAAATGCCTTGGCCAACTCCACCAACATTAATAAAATTTCTGATGAGATTATACATGCACATTTTTGCATGATATTAATTTTCTAATTTTATTATCTCCCAAATCATTTCTTTTTTAAGGTTCTCATAAAATTTCAATAACAATCCAGTTCAAAGTCTCTTATGTTTGTATGTGCTGTCTACTGGCAACTGACTTATGGCAACCACAGCTAGTGGCTTTTAAGGCAAGTGATAAGCAGAGGTGATTTGCAATTGCCTTCCTCTGCAGCATTTTCCTTGGTAGTCCCAAATCCAAATACCAACCCTGCTTAGCTTTTGAGATCTGATGAGATCAGGCTATGCCATATCATTCCACATCCCTCATACTCTCTTACTCAAACATTAATAAGAATTTCAGAGATTTAGAAAGCACTTTATAGTTTAAACAAAGTAAATTTAAAAACAATTCCTGTTCCAAGGAAAACTTTAGGTCCTGACATTTTCCTATCAGAGCTGAGCAGAAATAAAACTGGTGGACTCTGGTGTGAACAGGAATGGCAACATGAAATGATGCCTTCATACCTCAATATAACCTGTATTCATGAATGAGGTAAAAATAGAATCCTGTCTCAAAGACCAACAGCGCAACCCTAAACAGAGTTGTATCCTTCTATGCCCCTTGATTTCAATGGATTTCGAAGAGTATAACTCTGTTTAGGATTACACAGAAAACTCTCATGTGTTCACTAGATTTCTTGATGTATGTGAGAAGGAAGGTCCAATGGGTAAGGGTGTCTGTGGCTGGATTCTGCACTGGCTGTTTCATAAGGAATAGAGATCGCTTGTGAGATAGTTTTAACTGGAGAGTCCAAAGGATCAGTAAAAATGGGAACAATTGTTAATTTCAGGTGTTTGGGTACCTCTTTACACAAGAGCACAGCAAATGGAGATTACTTGGTGGAAGATTTATAGGCTCAGCCAGGATTATCAAGGCAAGCCTTCTTCTGCTGTATTTGGTTTGTGAAGAAGATGAACAAACTGTTAGGAGAAGAGGTAATTTGCTTGGTTGGGAGAATCACTTGAAGATCCTACTTAGCATGGTGATTCTGTGTCAGTCTCTCATTTCCCAGTGTTTGAAGTGTGTGGTGGCACTGGAAGCATAAAACAACAGAATCTATGGTAGAGAGACTCAAGCAGCTACTCCAGAGAGCACCATGGTGCCCGTTAACACCTTTCCTGGCACCTGCAAAGTGTGTTTAGAAGGGCGGGGCCAGGTGGGTCTTTTGCCAAGCAAGGCCTCTGACTGGCCACTGTGATTTGATTGGCTGTGCAGATTTTTAAAAACATTACTTGGGTAGCAGTCTGCAACCAATGCACAAGGACTTTCACTATGGTGAACTACACAAGTGGACCTCCCATTGGGAAACAGAAAAGGACCCCAGATGCCCCTGTAAAATCATGGGAGAGCCTCTGAGGCAATCTCTCGTTTCTTAATAGGAGAAATGCTGGAGCATGAACTCTTTCAAACTTTTCTTAGCCCCACCAGCACTACTCATGCCCCTCCAGCATTGCCACAATTGGGGGAGGGGAGAAAGGACCTGCAATGGAGTTGCCCATGGATACTCTATGCCTAAATCCTATATAAACTTGCAGCCAACTTTGAGCTGCCTCCATCGCCCTGCTTGATCCTTATCCAAATGGCTCCCATAAATGCTTCAGGTTTAAGGAGACAGGAAATCAGATTAGAGCTGTCCAACATCTCATTGAATTGTCACCTCAGTTTTCCTGTTTTTCTCCCTTCTGCTTTTTTTCTCCCTCTC